CTGCTCATACGCGAGCTGGGCCCTCTGGCTTGGGGGCCCCGGGGGATTTCAGGAGTGTGCTGTCGCCGACCCATGCTCTTCAAAAGAGTAAGGAGGCTATTTTTCCCGAGGAGGTCGCGGCGTGGACGGATCTCCCTCTGCATCAAGTGGCCTGCTGTGTCGTTACCCATGCCATGGTGGTAAGTGTTCTCCTTTCTTTAGAGCTCTTCGGTTTTTGTTTTGTTGGTTCTTTTGATCACTCGGTCCCTTTTGGTAGGTGAATTCTTCTATTCACGCCTTGGCGGCTCAGGTGGAGAGGAGGTCAAGGCAGGCGCGAGCTGCCAAAGAGGCTCGTCGCGCTGCCGAGGAGGCTGCTCGTGCTGCCGAAGAGACTGCTCGTGCTGCCGAAGAGACTGCTCGTTTTTCGCGGATCAGTTCGGGTCTCTGCTTTGTCTGACTCAGGGCCAAAGGGAGGGTTCGGTCTCCTCGTAGGGAGTTCGAGCTCTAAGTAGGGAGTTCGGGCCCCTTGTAGGGAGTTCGGGCTCCTCGTAGGGAGTTCAATCTCCAAGTAGGGAGTTCGGGCCCCTTGTAGGGAGTTCGGGCTCCTCGTAGGGAGTTCGAGCTCTAAGTAGGGAGTTCGGGCCCCTTGTAGGGAGTTCGGGCTCCTCGTAGGGAGTTCGAGCTCTAAGTAGGGAGTTCGGGCCCCTTGTAGGGAGCTTGGTCTCCTCGAGGGGAGTTCGGACCGCTGGTCTCTTCCCTTTGGCGTTTGTACCCTCGGCATGCTGTTTTAAGTGTCGAGCTACTTGTTTTTTGCCATGTTACGTGATTTGCGAGGTCGAGCCAAATCTTCCTTCATCAAAGGCCATTACCCAATGTTGATCCCATCAATGTGGGATCTTCAGAGGGTAGACTAGATATGGTCCTAAGCCCTAACCTTTTGGCATATTTTTAGAATAAAGTGAATTTTTTAACCTGTGCTCTTATGTTTATCAGCTGAGATTTTACCATTATACCAAATGATAGATTCCTAATAAAACAAAGATAGAGATATATAGATAGATAGATAGATAGATATAAAAGTTATAAAGGTAAATGAATGGTTAAGCAGACAAACAGACCAAGACAAAACCAATTTCTTCACGTTAACAAGCTCAACATCATTCTTCAAATGGATTGAGATAAGTAGATAACTTCATCAAATTGTTTCCTTGGCATATCCATGTATAAACGATGAAAAAAATAAGATATACATGGATATGCTAAGGAAGCAATTTGATGAAGTTATCTGCTATTATCTCAATCCATCTGAATGATGTTGAGCTTGTTAGCTGACAAAATTGGTTTTGTCTTTGACTGCTTAACCATTCGTTTGCCTTTACAACTTTTATATCTATCTATCTATATGTATATCCAAAATATGTCGTAATATCTCTTAAAATTATCCTTGCGACACAGTTGATGCCTAATCACAATTTCAAAAACGTAAAATACAAATAGAACATAAATTCAGATTAGTAAAGCTATTTTACATCAAAATCTATAGATAGAGGCCCTGCCTTACTTAGGTCATAATTTGGATGCCTTGGGAGTCATTACCAAGTTGACCAACTCAACCATATCAATGTCAAGGCACGACCATCGATGATCTGAGGAGTTACTTTCTCGCAAATTCGGTTCTCTCATTCTCGCAAGAACTCTAATGGTGTCGCCCATGACTCTTAGCCACTTGGGCCAAATCTTCTGGATCCTCCATGGGTACTAATGACTCGGGGCACCCTGTCTGCGCCCCACTTCTTTTAGCCGATAATTAAACAATGTATCCCCCCTTGATTTTATGAATAAATTCTTTCTCCTTTCTATCCAAAATAAAAAATAACAAAAAAAAACTGGTTGATGGGCCAATTGGTACTTTTGCTGCTTCGTTGCAATTTGCAAAGAGACCCAAGGTCTATTCCGATTGTATAGCCCACCACAAGTCTTAATTTGGAGGTTGTCCCATTCTATGGAGCACAACATTGGGGCCTATGGAACACCACAAGTCTTTCCTTTACTTCCCTATCTTTTCCTCCAAACCAAACATAGCTTCAAAGTGTTTCTATTAAGAATCCTCCATACCCTTGGTTCAATAAACAATAATTCATGAGAAAGAAAGGAGACTGAAAAGAATGTTGCCAAATAAGGAATTCGGTGAGAGTAATAAATGATTTAAACACCCATAATTTAATTTAATTATGGATGAATGGAATGGAAAAACAGGATTCATGTCGCTAACCCATATAGTTGGGACAATGCTTAGATGGTGATGGTGATGGTGATGATGATGATGTATTTCTATTGACAAGATTCCAGAGAACTCAGAAAATTGACCTGAAAAAGAATTGTATGAAAAACTAGGAAATGACAAACAAAGTATGTATTTCTATTAAGAAACGATTTCACATGCAATAACAATTCCTTGAGGTTTTTGCACAAGCACAACAAGACATAATAATTTTGAACATCACAGCGTTTGTCCTCGCGAACTGAACAAGGTAATTATGTCAATACTTCCTATGGGAGGCAATTCCCCCTACTAATATTAATATAATACACAATCACCGTTCCCCATGTAATTGAATAAATAACTCTTATCACTGTATCGCATGGTTGAAAAAACATAAATAATGGCGCAATAACCAAACTGTTACTTGGGTGCCTGAGTCTGTGAATAACCTTGTGGTTTAGTTTGACTGGCCGCAGACATCACACGCAGACGACTGGCTATTTCTGTGAAAGAAGGCCGCGCCAGAGGATCGGGAGCCCAACATTGCTCCATTAGCCTTCTCCATTCAAGGTCACAGTAGTTTGGCACAGGGGGCCTCAACGTGTTATTCACAATACCTCCTGTATAAAAAGGAAAAAAGGTCCACACATCATTCAATGCATAACTAAACTGATCATTAGAACACAAGAATGGGTTACAAAAAACAGCAGAAGGAACACTGAAAACATGTCAGTGATGGGATATATCCAGCTTCCAGCATTTGATGATCCCAATGATCACAGAAAGGTATCCCAGCATGTTATCTGGGATCAACTTCGTGACTCAACATTTTGCCACGGATCACCTTTCAAAACAGCATTCCATTTCCATATGTATTGGTCTCAGTGGCAACACAAAAAATTAACAGAAGATGGTGAAATGATCAGAAAAGCACCTATAATTGCACCATAATGCATATTTGCATAAGGTTCCTCGCCAGTGAGAATCTCCCACAAGACAATACCAAAGGAGAAAACATCAACCTGGCAATCAACAAAAACCAGATATACATAAGTTGCACGTTAAAAATTTTCTTTTCCAATTCATTTATCAATTTTCATCTTTTTCTTTTTCTTTTTGAGGGTGATACAAAAATTTCAGAAGGTTCAGGTTTGAGGAAACAAATATTTTCAAATTGTTGAGACCACGATGACAAATTATAACATTTGGAAGCATCAACCATCTTGTTAGAATTTGCTCTGTTCAGGCATGTTAGGGTTTAAAGAAGGTAGTAGCTTACTTTCTCAGAGACCTTGCTACTGCTGCCATTCAATAGTTCAGGAGCCATCCACGGTAGGGTTCCCCTTACACCACCAGAAACCAGTGTATTTCTCTTAATTTTAGACAATCCAAAATCACCTACCTGTATAAAGAGTAATATTTTGTACTCAGACAATACTCTGTTTCATTGTGAAACATTTCTGTGAAATTAAAAACAAAGACATAAAGTCTGAACTATATGCTAGCAGCATTAATGAAGTTTTTGCAAGGAGAAAAAAAAAATCATGCTTTTATGAATAACACAACAGTTACCTTACAAATAGGTCGTGCAGGATCTTTTAGATTTACAAGCAAATTATCACATTTCAGATCAAAATGTACAATGTTCTTAGAATGTAAGTACTCCATTCCAAAAGCTGCATCCATCGCAATTGTGAGCCTCTTGCGACGATCTAGATACCTGGTAAATACAAGAATAAAATGTTTCGGTATGACAGAGAAAGAGAGAGAGAGAGAGATGACTTAAAGAGCAGTTTGGAAGAGGATTACCTGTCCTTACGAAGTAAAACATGCCTAAGAGAACCATTCACCATGTATTCAGTAACAGTGGCTAGTGTTCCACCTGGTCCATCTTGCACTACACCATAAAAAGCCACCACATTTGGATGGTGAAGCTTTGAAAGAATTTCAGCTTCCCTCCAAAACTCCACAGTCTGGAAATGATATGATTACTGATTATCCAAATATAGAGTTGGAAAATGAAACAAATGTCTCTGGCCCCAAATGATAAGAAAAAAAAATCCACGGGAAGATAAATTCCAATAAGCTATTAATAAAATAATCAGTTTAACATTACTAGAAGTAATGTGGCACAGCTATTGTTTATCTATCAAATAAATAGATTACCATTCAACAGTACATGATTTTACATTAGCTGGGAACTCACCAATCTCTCTTGCTCAGATGATCGACCTGTGAAGCAGCTCTTCTTTATTCTTTTGATGGCAACATCTGTCCCCCTCCATTTTCCATGATACACAGTCCCAAAAGTACCTGATCCCAGTTCTCTCAGCTCTTCAAGATCTTCATTTTTAATGATCTATTTATGGGCATCCAAACACAATAGTCAGATAACCATATAATGACCCAGGCACATCTATCAATGTTGTCAGCACAGTGGTTTTTGAGAAATCTAAAATACAGATATTCATTCATGTACTACTAATTCCATAAACTAAATAGAAAGGATTTACAATTTATCACTAAAAGACAAAAAGAACAGATGTTTTAAGGAGAAAATTCACATTTTACAAATAATTCTCATAGCAATGGTCATGCTGGTCAGTGCAATCACCCAAATGGACACATATATTAAATAGCCCAATATGGAATGCTGATTCTCCTCTCAAAATGTCTTTCTTGGATATGTTCATTTTGATGGTTGATAAAGGAACTAAGGCAGAAGTTAAGCCATAATGTGGCGGTGGATAGGTTTTTGGGATTTCATTTCTTGTTAATATGTATATTGTTAAGAGAATGGTTCATTGTTTGAGGCTCTTGGACTGGTTGGTTCCAAGTTTGGAGGGCAAATACACCTACAAAATTGATATAAAAGCTCCTTTTTTCAAACAGATTACTCTTCTCATTTGATTAAGTGGTTTTTGGGAGTCTTATTGGAGGTCCACATATTCTCACCAAGGTGAATTTTTGCAATAGGGGTTGCCTCCTTGAGTTACTGCTTCTTTTAATAAGTGGCATTATGAAATATATTCATTATCAAAAACAAACCTGCTGTCCATAGTGGATAGCTACACAACAGCATAAAGCTGACATAAGCACTGATCAGCAAAGTAAATTCATTTATTAAATTAATTAATTACTGGTTTAGCACAAATATTCCAGCAAAGAGGTAACCCAAGCTACAACAGATTACAATAAATCCCAGAAAAAGAGTGGGTCTATCAGCTCCCTGCTTGGCTAAAATATCCGCCAACCTATTTACTTCCCCTGTCACCCAACCAAAACTAGAATTGAATCTCCTTGCAAGTAGGTCAATTTCTCTGAAGACAAATCTGAACTTCCAAGGTGCTGAACTGTTTTGCTTTGCCCGAGATATAAACAATAGTAAATCTCCCTCAATCTCCAGTTCCCTTTTCACCCAACCAACACTCTCTATCTTTATTCATAAAAAGTTATAATTCAGTCCCATGTCCTAGACAACACCAAAGCAAACTTTGTCTTACAACTCCTGCTTGTGCCAGTCCATCTGCAACTTCATTAGCAGTCATCAAAATACAACTGAACAAGCAGTTCAGAGGTCTTCCCAATGACAAAGCTTCTCTAACTGAGAACCTATATTTCCATGGAACACTCTGTTATTACCTAAATTGTTGTAGTTAATCTTGTTTTGTAAACAGAGGTACAAGTAACCCTAGTCTTTACATAAACAGAGGAATTACTTTCTTCTGCAATTTACATTGAAATTAATATAAATTCTTGTGGGAGTGGTAGATGAATCACTCTTTCACATTCATGCATCTTTCTTTATCCTTTATTTTTTTTCTTCTCTTATTACTGCTGTATTAGAGCATTCTCTCTTTATCTACATCAGATATCATAACTGAATATCAGAGAAAGGCTTTCAGAGTGTCAGACACTGAAACTTCTGCTGATCACACCACTCATGGAGAGTTTTTCATGGAAAAGGAACCTAAATTTTAACAGAGCGTGAAATTAGAGAGTTTCTCATGTCATGGAAGATTGTTTAGTGTTTGGTATTTTCTACATTTTTTCCACAAAAAACCAAGAAAATTGATTTTGGTATGGAGAGATTTTATGCAGATTTTAGAGTTTTGTGTTGAAAACTCTCATTCTACATTAGCACCTTTCTCTATTGGACTGTTTTTTGATAATTTTATGTTGAACTGGTGTGCAAAAATAGGGGTACAACTTGAACGTGGCCTGCCCAACCCGAGGTCAAGACCAACTTTACTAGCGCAAGCCCAACCTGAGGTTAACCCAACACAACTTGGGCCTGGCTTGGGTTTGGTTGGGCCTAGGTAGGTTGGTTGGGTTTGAAAGGTTTTCACAAGGAATCTTGCACATATACCTTTTATTGGACTTTTTTTTTCTTTGAGAAAAGGTGAAAAATAAAATTATATTAAACGAAAAAGCACCCATATACGAACTAGAGGCTGCACACTAGGAATGTACAAAAGAACTGCCAAGCAGAAATATAAAACAATCCCATGATTGTTTACAACTGTCCAATATAGCAGTAGAATAGATCAAAATTATGTATAGATGCCATTGATAAGATAAATGCATGCATGCATATAAAAGACCATTACCCAATCTCGGTGCAAGCTATCTATGGTCTTGAGAGGCATAGACTGGGTTATGGTCCTAACCTTTGGCTTTTTTTGGCACAAAGTGGTGACCGTCAGGCTCAGACTCAAACCTGCGTTCCCACACTTGCCAGCCAGACATTTTACCATTGCACCAAGTAATGGCCCCTAAATGCATGTATACATATATACATGCATATATATAATTAGAAAAAATATGATTATACATACTGATAAAAAAGATGTTTTTTATATAAATAGTAAGCATAATGTCTGTATTTGTAAATGCTTGAGTATGGTTGTGAGTTTAGGTTAATCAATATGCATATTGTAAATAAATAGATATACTCTAAGGCACATATGATAGTATAAATATATAATATACATAAATATGTACATTTCACAAAAACACAATGTATACAGCAACATAGGTGTGTCATTATGCAAATGTCAGGCAGGTTTGGGCCAACTGAGGCCTCAACCCAAGCCCATGTTCAGGTTGGGTCAAGCTGGGATGCCCCAGTTGCAGCCCTATGAAGAAAGTTGTGTTGTGTCCAAAATGTTTGTCTGGGAGCAGCTAGTTATACTGTTGGCCCCCTATGTCTCTTTAGAAGTCTTAAAAGGGGAGAATATTGTTGTTTCAGTGTTTAGAAATCGAGGGAGTTATAGGATCAGTCTCAACTAGAACTGTAATGACAACCCTAGTATTCATATCACTACAGTAAAACTCAGACAGGAACAATTTTATGGAACGGGCTTGGTCTGTCAAGTTGTCAATTGGTGGTAAAGGGCAGTTAGCCTTACAAGACAAGAAAAGCACCTACACCCAAGGATCCCTCCCACGCTAAGTAGGTAGGAACAAGAAAATCTCATGGTGATATCCTGGTTGGTTTGTTCAATACATTATTAGATACCCAGAAACTATACGTTTCCTTCCACTACCTAGGAGATTTGGACTAAAGCTACCCAAGACTTATCTCCACAGTGGAGAATTCAGCAATACCAGCTGAAGTAGGTAGTGCATACTCTAAAGTTGGGGGAGAAGTCTGTATCATCTTACTTCTCTTCAATCTCTCTGCAAAGAGATCAAACATATAGAAAGTGTCAAGTGGCATTGCACAGAGGACTTAGAGCTGTACAAGACACTAGTAGAGAAGATGGATTTTGAGTTGTTGGACTCAATCTTGAGTTTGAATTTACAAAGCAACATATACTGAGTTAATAGTGTTCCATATCCATCTCAGGCACATTCATTGATTTTGGGAAAAGAGATTTGGAGTCTTGGAGATTCGCAATGCAGCACTCCCATGAGTCTGATCGTATTGCCATAGCTAACGAAATCCCAAGGCAAGTAGCAGGAAGGGCTCTTCAAATAATCACTTGGATGAACTAAAATGTGATTATTGTCATAAGACACATCACACACTGGAAAAAATGTTGGAAGCTAAACTGCCACCTATAGTTTGAAAGGTTCAAGAGCAATTATAAATCTAAATGCTGTTACTACATCTGTGTAGAGAAGATGGGCCGAATGGCCCATAGGCTGTTTATCCTTCTTTATTTTTTATGTTCTTTGCTGTAATGGGCCTTATTCTGGGCCTATTCTTTCTATGTTACGTTCTTTTAATTTCTTGCCCAACTAAGAGCCTCTTTGTAAATTATCAAAGTTTAACTTAATAAAATTGTGTTAGAGGTGTAAGAGTAGAGATTAAGGTTCGAAACTCTCTTACTCTGAACCCTTATTGCCGCCATCTTCTTCTTCATCTTCTCTTCCTTAGAAGAATGATTTCTGTTGTTTTATTTTGATTTCTGCATCTGTTCTAAACAGTCCTTTATTCTCAAAAGACTGTTTTTCTTCTATCTGGTATCCAGCTAACTACCAATTCTACCAGATCACATTCCTCTAAGATGATTACAATTCCAAAGGCTGAGATAGAAGGTTCAGTCATCTCCTTGCATGGTTGCAAGGTAATTTTGGTTTGTCTTCCTCCTCCATTGCCCTTGCCACATTAAGTAATCAGTCCCTTTCTTGTCATGTTTCAACATCTTATTAGGTTGTTGGTTCCGGGGCACTAGACTGTATGACTTGCATGTCCTCTTTTTTCATTTTCATAATTTCATTCAGTATGTTTGGTCATGATAAGGTCACTATAGCTGATCAATCTCTTGCTCCTTTTTCCACAAAGGATGAAGTCAAGCCTAGTGATCATATCTCTCTTGCTTCCACACTCCATGTAGGGATGATCATTTCAGACCATATCCACATTTCACAGCCTGGCCTGGATATATATATAGTTTTCTGTAACTCTGAAAATAAACTTAGATTTAAATTAAGTTTTTTTTTTCAAGTTTAAAAACTTATGTGGGAAAACCCAGATGCCCAACCAGGCCAGACATACATTATCAAGCCCCGAATGAAGGTTGGGCCAGGCCCAGGCAGCTCAGAATGCTCTTACTACCATTGTAAAAACCTGGCCCACTATCATCACCAACTCCATGTACCTCACTTGACTACAAATCTTCTGTTTATTAGTAGTCCAACAAAGCAATTGAATTGTTGTGAAATATTTTTTTTTCTTTGACTGTTGTCTTTTCCAAAATCTGGGAACAAGAAAGACTATATTGGAAGACAACATGAGGTTATGACAGTCTAATTTTTTAATGGAGTTCCTACTCAATCTTTAGCATATCAGTATAGTAATATTGATGAGTCTTTATTTTACATGATTAATCCCAGATGAAGTTGTGAGGC